TGGCAGGTGACTGGGGTGACCTTTGCCCTTGTGCTGCTGGCACTCACAGGCGGCGAATCCGTACTGGCAGAGCCGGGGAACCACCCTCTCTGGGGGGCGCTTCCGCTGCCCCTCCTGCCGCCACGAGGTGATCCTGGACCGGCACGGCGTCTACGGGCTGCAGCGGAACCTGCTGGTGGAGAACATCATCGACATCTACAAGCAGGAGTGCTCCAGGTGAGCCGCGCGCCCGCCCACGCGAGCAGCCCCGCCAGTTCCCGGGTGTGGACAACAGGCAGGCAGGGGAATAGGAGGGAGGGAGTGTTCACACAGCAGCAGGTGCAGATCTGGATTCCGAGGTCTGAAAGGAGTTAACCGATGAATTTCCTGAATCGCTGGCATGGAGGCAGAGACAGGTGCTCTATGGGGCAAATATGGTACCAGGCTTTGAAAAGGGGGGGGCAGGGGAGGTCTGCAGAATCAGCAAATACCATCTCCCAAGTGGAGTTCCGAAGGCGCGATAAGAGCAGCAGCTGGTCTACACGGTTCCACTCTCACGTGCCTAGAATCAGTAACATGTCCCATCCCCCTCCCCAGCCTGTTGCAAATGGGGAACTGACCCTGGGCTCATGGGTTAATGGTCACAGTTACCTGCAGTCTCCCGATGCATGGAGAGCTGGGTTAAAAGCCAGCTCCGGGGTGCACCGGCTCCCAGGGAGTCCACTTTTGCCCCACCTGTAACCATGTGACCACTGACATATTTTATTGGTTGCACGGTTCCTTCGTTCCACACATTTTAACTTCCCGACTGATAAAAACAAACTGTGCCCAGAGCAGCACGGCCGCGGCTTTGAGAGTCATGTTGCAGGGAGGAGGGAGCGAACACAGTAGCTGTTCCCAAGGTTCCCTCTAATCTTTTCCATCCAAGTGCGGATTTTTTCTATCCACGTGTGGAATAAATCTGTTGATGTGCACCAAGGCATGTGCATTTGTGCACCACCAGCAGCATGGCTGTCTGCTCTGACACGGATACGAACCAGCCAAAGGAGCATACATGCAGCCCCTCGTAGCAGCATCAGGCCCACGCCCACAGCCACAGACTGTGGGTTGTTGATACTTAAGAACATAAACCTGCGATAGTGGGTCAGACCAGCCAGCCTGGTCTCTTGTGGCCAGTTTCACAGCTTCAGGGAGAACAGGGTAATTGTGAAACGATCCACCCATCTGTCCCCCCTGCCTTCTGGCAGCCAGAAATTTAGGGTCATTCAAGTAGGGAGTCACACCCCTGATCCTTTTGGCTACTCGCCACTGATGGCATGAACCTCCATGAACTGATCTTGTCCCTTTTTGAAACCCAGCTGTACTCTCGGCCAGCCCAACATCCCTGGTCAAGGAGTTCCAAGGGTTAACTGTGTATAGCACAGAAAAAGTACTCCTTGGTTGTATGAAACCTGCAGCCTGTTCATTTCATCAGGTGGCCCCTGGTTTCCATATTGTGGAAAGGGGTAAATAACACGTCTCTCCTCCAGTTGTCCACATTTGTGATTGTATAGACCTCTCCCGTACCCACCCCGATCGCTGTAGCACTTCGTACATAGTCGCAGCAGCCTCGGGTGGCACGTGGCTGGCTCAGGTCTGTTGGTTGGATCGGTAGCTTCCCCGGCTCAGGCCAGGGACTGATGGGCCGTGCAACGTCCTCAGCCCCCCACTTGCGGCTGAGTTCCCATTGGGCTGGGAGCGGCAAATGGAGGGAACGGGAATAGACCCAGAGAAGGAAAGGGACTTGTCCAGCTGCAGAGCTCGTGGTTTATCCCGGGGGGGGACCCTGGTTTTAGGATTGGCTATGCCAATTATATGCTAGCTGAGGAATCCTGTACACTGAGGTAAACCTCAAATACCACCTTAAGGCAGCTTCAAATCCCCTTTGTGCTACTGAAGCAGGGGGCCTGGGCTAGTAGATTTTGTGGAACCTCCTAGGCTTTGGGGTAGGGACAAAAACGAGGGGTTCAGTGTGTGGAAGGGGGCTGCTGGGAAAAGGGATTGGGGTGCAGGTCTGGGCGGGAGGGAGGGTGCAGGCGCTTTGGGGGCCGGATCCAGCCCCCAGGCCGTATGTTCCCCACCCTGGTTTTATCCCAAGTCTCACATCATTCCGGGTTTCTCTGCGAACCCCAGCCCTGGGGCAAGGGGAGGAGCGGAGACTTGCCGCTTCCTTTGTCTTTAAAGCAAGTTTTTCACCTTCCTGGTTTTGGAGACAAGTTTAAACATGAGACCCCCCCTCCCCCCCCCCCCCCC